ATGTGTGTATTTATGTATATGTAGATTGAATTCACAACGGGAAAAAAAAATAGGGATTCGACTTAAACTAACGTATAAATTCAAAACCAATGTAAAACTTAAAACGTATGAAATTTGTGAATTACTAGAAACTATAATCATAAAATTAAAAAAAAAAAAAAAAAAAAAAAAAAAAAAAAAAAAAAAATCTGAAATTTTTCAGATTTTAAATTACGTCCAAAGGGGCTTTTTTTAACATTTTGTGTGTTACCTTTCTTTATTAAATATCATGTTCCTCGCACTTAAACCATAAATTCAGTTCAACAGCAATATCGCAAAATAGTTTTAAAAACGAGCATATCTTTAGAATTTCCGATATACAGAGACTCAAGCGCGCTGGAGATAAAAATTTTTTTTCTGCACAACGTTGCCATTGCTCGCTTTGAAATCCTTGAGTTTGTTAAATCAAAAATTCGTCAAAGTTTTAAAAAATAGGAAATCGATAATAAAACAAATTTCAAATTTGGTTTCCACATGCTCATATTCTTGGAGGATTTACGTTATTCAAAATTCGATGACTATGTACCGTTGTTTTATGACAATGCGAGAATATACATACATTTATGCAGATTTTTCATTATTTAATTTCTTCAAATATAATGCAGGACTCTAACATTTTATGGCAACAGTTTGAAAAGTGAACCGACATTTATGAGTCCGACGCAAAATGCCAAAACGAAACTAATAATCCTTCGGGATTCAAATCCCTTTGGACTAAAAAAAAAAAAAAAAAAAAAAAATCTGAAATGTTTCAGATTTTAAATTACGTCCAAAGGGGCGTTTTTTAACATTTTGTTGTGTTACCTTTCTTTATTAAATATCATGTTCCTCGCACTTAAACCATAAGATCCAGTTGCAACAGCAATATCGCAAAATAGTTTTTAAAACGAGCATATCTTTAGAATTTCCGATACAGAGACTCACGCGCTGGAGATAAAAATGTTTTTTTTCTGCACAACGTTGCCATTGCTCGCTTTGAAATCCTTGAGTTGTTTGTTAATCAAAAATTCGTCAAAGTTTTAAAAAATAGGAAATCGATCATAAAACAAATTTCAAATTTCAAATTTGGTCTTCCACATGCTCATATTCGTTGGAGGATTACGTTATTCAAAATTCGATGACTCTATGTACCGTTATTTTATGACAATGCGAGAAATATACATACATTTACGCAGATTTTTCATTATTTAATTTCTTCAAATATAATGCAGGACTCTAACATTTTATGGCAACAGTTTGAAAAGTGAACCGACATTTATCCGTCCGACGCAAAATGCCAAAACGAAACTAATAGTCCTTCGGGATTCAAATCCTTTGGACTAAAAACTACTAGGCCATACGCCTAAGGCAGGCTCAGTGCCCGAAATCTGTTCTTGACCGTGGCCCCGGTTCTAAGCATATGCCCTGAACAAGTGGTCAGCTTGTCGCAGGACCTGCAGTATTTAGTCCGCAAGCGAACCTGGTACTCATTTTATCGACCCAAGTGATGAAAGGCTGAGTCAACCTTGCCCAGCCCGGGAATCGAACACACCCCGGACCTATGGTACTGTAGCGCGATGCGCTAGCCACTGCGCCACTGGGCGCACGAACTGAAATATTGGCGAATTTGATTACACATGTGATATAACGGATTCTGCGTACATCTAGGATTAATGTAAAGCTATATATAATGTATACATATATATACCTTCTTGGAAAAGTCCATTAGTGAGGGGCATGGATAAATGTAGAAGGCAGTAGAAAAGAATCTTCAAAGTGTTACGGATTTTAAATGATTTTAAAAATTGTATCGACATATTCGGTCAAAATGCAAAATAAAGTATCATCCTTAGCTTGCATTTTCAGCTGTGTACAAACCCGTGCTCAAAAGTATTGCATGACTTGATATATTTTGAACGGTTGGTTGCACAAGACATCGTGGTTCCAGTTTAAGACAGACATCAATAATATGGGTTTTCCAGATGAATATTTAGCAAAAACGTACAAACGTTTCTTCAAACGTTTATTATACTCGTATACTAGTAAATAAAGCAAAAACGTTTCTAAGCAAAAACGTTTCTTCATGAATAATTAGCAAAAACGTACAAAATTGAAAACTTTTTACGTACCCTGTATGAAAAATCTTACAATTAGTAGCTTCTTCTTTTTCCAACAATTTTATACCCTTAAACGATAACGTCCACATTTTGCAAGACTAAAAGTATTCCAACAGAAAAAACACGTATTATAAATGTGTATTCGTACTCGGTATACAGAGTTGACTTTATCAGTACACACTTGATTTTGGTGAATTATACCATAAGTAAGTTTCAATGATTAACAATTATTTTATTCAGAGAATTAATTCGAATATGGAACGCTATTCTCTCGTTCCTGCATTTTTCTTGTTGATATCACATAAAAAATGCGTAAAAAATTCCCTCCTAAGCTTTCTTATATTTTCTTTATATCATGATCTAAATTTGCATAGCATGATGTCTATTTATTTTTATTTTCGAAAGTGATTTTTTTTCCATTCGTTGGCCCTAGCCATTTTAGGCGTCTACAGCTACAGAGGCCGGAAGTGGTGATCACTTTAATTACGGAGGTACTACGGAGGTAGGTGAGCCACCGCTGCCTCATATGAACGGACAGAAAATTTATAACCACGACTTCTCCTTGATCTGAATCTGGGAACATATAAACGGACAGACAATTTACATCCGTGACTTCTCCTTGATCTGAATCTGGGAACGTATGAACAGACAGACAATTTACACCCGTGACTTCTCCTTGACCTGAATCCGGGAACATATGAACGGACAGACATTTTACATCCGTGACTTTATATCATGGTTTAAATTTTCATAGCATGTAGTCTATTTCATTTTATTTTCGAAAGTGATTTTTTTTCATTCGCTGGCACTAGCCATTTTAGGCGTCGGCAACTACTGAAGTCGAAAGCGGTGATCACTTTAAAATTACGGAGGTATATAATAGGTGAGCCACCGCTGCCTCATATGCACGGTTAGACAGTTTATATCAATGACTTCTCCTTGACCTGAATCCGGAAACATATGAACGGACAGACATTTTACATCCGTGACTTTATATCATGGTTTAAATTTTCATAGCTGAGTCATTTCATTTATTTGCGAAAGTGATTTTTTTTTTCATTCGCTGGCAAGCCCGTGACTGAATGTATATCACAGAGGTAAATAAAGTTGCCACCATTGTAGTCATATTTTCGAAAGTGACAACTAGATTTTAGGCGTCGGGTAGACAGTGTGACGGATAGACAGTTTATATCCATGACTTCTCCTTGATCTGAATCCGGAAACCTATGAAGGGGCAGACAAATTGCATCCGTGAATTCTCCTTGATCTGAATCCGGGAACATATGACGGACTGACAACGTACATCCGTGACTTGATCTGAATCCGAGAACTTCGTTACAGAAGTCATAATTTTTAACTGCTGTCCCCTCTGACCAGCCAGAAAATGAAGCAATGGATCTGGAATTAAATTCAAAAGATTTAACTATAGGCATTATTTAGAAGCAGCCCCTATAAATTTCTTAACAACTTACATCTGCTTAGCGGTTTGTAAAAGGTTCTGATTTTCAATACTCCCGAATGAAAAGGTTCAATTAAGCTCTAAATATTCATTAGAAAAGAAAAAATTAGCCAAAGTGAAAACCTTGAAAATATATTTTGCATATTGAAATTGATCCTTCATTCTGGGTGAAGCAAATTCAACCGTAGATTTTAAAATCTTTTTAATATTTAATAACTATAAATCGAAAGGAAAACATTGGTTAACATTTCAGTTCCAACAGAATCATTGGTTCAATTTCGTTTTTGTTACATTTTATACATTTTAACTCATTAGCATTCTATCGTTAATTATATTAGTAATATCCTTTCCTTTTTCTTATTTCAACAATTTTAGGCCTGATAAAAATAGTAAGAAAGGGTTCAAAACAGCCTCATATGCCCAACAAACAGTTTGTTAGGTTCTTGTGAAAGTCTTCAGGGTAAACGCCATCTATCTGGAACAAATGCCAGTTGAATTTATTAAATTTAATTCCGTTTAAAATTTTAATTTTCAAACGTCGTAACCAATGCTGTAATTTTTTTTCAAAACGTGCTAGAAGGAATTTACTGTAAGAAACCTTCTCCAACGTCATCAAATGGAGCTCATGTTTTACTTGCGTCTGTACTAATATTTGAGTTTCAAAGATATTTTCTGAAACGACCATTAAAGAAAAACAAATAAGTGTAAAAAATGCAAAGAAAAATCTTTTTTCTTTTCTGGATTAGGAAATTTCGATTATTTTTAGTCTTAGGAAGCAGTTAGAATCATTCTGTATTCATATGCTAATATGTTTTAAATAAATCTCATGCACATAACTAGTGCCGCATAACATTAGCGATCATTGGATATTCGTTGCTCAGTACATTTTTAAAGGTTATATTTACGTCTCATGCTTCATTTTCATTCTAAGCATGTTCTCATTCTAAGCATTATATTTATGCCTCATGCTTCAAAGAAATATCTTAAAGTACTGACAATTGTAATATTCTAATCACTATTGCGTTAGTATAATTAGAAAGATATTGTTACAGATTTCGCATTTAAATAGCTAATGCTAGTAGAATTATAAATTAAATTGTTTTATTCGCCGTGCAGTGCAGCTACTGACGAATATAAGCTAATGAATGCTAATTCTTCTGAATCAATACGATTGTGTATTAACACATCGTTCAATAAATCCGGGACTAACCGAAAGATGGCGTTAGTAACATCAACTTGACTTCATTGTTCGAAAGAACTAACCTTCAAATGACACGTGTCTAATTTTCAAGGCAATTCGGACCAGAAACAGCGAAGCTATTGTGGTAAAAGTGACACTACTTGTGCATTTGGTAGACAAAATGGAGTAAAACGAATTTCGAGTGTTGATCAAACATTGGTATTTAATGCGCAAAAATACTGTGCAAGCTCAGCAGTGGCTTGAAAAATGTTATCCATACACTGCTCCATCGAAAACAACCATTTGCCGTTGGTATGCTGATTTTAAGCATGGTCGCACGGATACAAATGATGTGGCACTCTCGGGTAGGTCAAATGAAGCAGTCGCTGCGGAAAATGTGAAACAAGTGCTGAAAATCGTGATGAATGACCGCAAAGTTCCTGAGATTGCTGAGATGGTAAACATATCAACTGGAAGCGCATATATGAATTTGCATGAAACATTGAGAATGAAAAATGTGTTTCCCAAATGGGTGCCGCATGTGATCACAATGGAACAAAAGCAACAACAAGTCGATGATTCACAGAGCTTTGTCACTGTTTACGCAATAAACAGGATTTCTGCGTCGATATGACATGGACGAAACAGGATTCACTATTTCACTCTGGAGTCAAAGCAGCAGTCAGCGGAGTCGCGTGCAGCGGTGAAAGCCATCCGAGCGTCAGCAGTGCAGCTGGCAAAGTCATGCGCGAGGTATAATTTACACCGACCAAGGGAAAAATCAATAGAGCCTATTACAGGGAGTTATTGATGCGTCTGAGACAAAATAAAAAAAAAACTGAAATGTTTAGATTTTAAATTAGTCCAAAGGGGCGTTTTTTAACATTTTGGTGTTACCTTCTTTATTAAATATCATGTTCCTCGCACTTAAACCATAAGATCCAGTGTGCAACAGCAATATCGCAAATAGTTTTAAACGAGCATATCTTTAGAATTTCCGATACAGAGACTCACGCGCTGGAGAAAAAATGTTTTTTCTGCACAACGTCTTTGAAATCCTTGAGTTTTTAATAAAAAGTTTTAAAAATGGAAATCGATCATAAAACAAATTTCAAATTTCAATTTGGTCTTCCACATGCTTCATATTGTTGGAGGATTACGTTATCAAAATTCGAGACTCTATGTACCGTTGTTTATCACATACGAGAAATATCATACTTTATGCAGATTTTTCATTATTTAATTCTTCAAATACAATCAGACTAAACATTTTGTGGCAACAGTTGAAAAGTGAACCGACATTTATGAGTCCGACGCAAAAATGCCAAAACGAAACTAATAGTCCTTCGGATTCAATCCCTTTGGACTAAAAAAAAAAAAAAAAAAAAAAAAAAAAAAAAAAAACAAAAAAACGACCGCACATGAAGAAAACATTCATCTTCAGTCAAGACAATGCCCCATGCCACAAGTCAATGCAAACATTGGTTGCAATGAACGAGTTGGGCTTCACTCTTGCCTCCCCACCCACTATACTCCCCAGATCCAGTTCCCGGTGACTACTGGCTGTTAGTTGATCTCAAAAAGATGCTACAGGCGAAAAGATTTGGCTTAAATAAGGAAGTCATCGCTGCCACTGAAGCTTATTTTGCGGACAAGGACAAACGTTTAACAAGCATCTTATCGAAAAGTTAGAAAAGCCTTGAAATGATAGCATAGCTCTTCATGGTGATTATGTTTATGAATGAACGTGAGTTTTTTTAAAAATGGATGCTGTTTTCTTTGTTAGTCCCGGGACTTATTGAACGATGTGTTACATTCATTAAATTCAGAAACTCTAGGATTAAAAAAAAACAATTTAAACACTCGCTAATAAAAGCATATCAGTTAGGATTAAAACAATAAGGAACTCATCGAAGTGGATGAAAGTTGAACTTCTAATAAACTCTAAACTAAAGGTGATTGACAACTGTTGAACTAGATTTCGATATACCGTATTTTCCAGCGTATAACGCTCACAGGTGTATAACTGATATATATACTTTCAAGCTACATTTGTTGTTTTAATTTTGAGGTATATTCGCCATATAAAGCGCACCACATTCTTCACGAAGAAACCTAAACGGTACATGTGCAGTGCTTTTATCTTTTGAGGTCGCTTATCGAAAATTTGGCCTAGCCTTTCGAACATTAGTAAATCATACTGACAAGCGGTAAGGGGAACAATATATGTGTGGGTTAAATGCTTGAGGAAGTAAATATTCCAGCAAAGAGGAGGGATTGTAGTCATTGCAAATGTCCAAAAGAATGTCCAAAGCGCTTCCAACCTGAATGAATTTGTTGAGTTTAGAGTTACATGTTTTCTCTTTTTGTAGTCATTTAAACCGACATTTTGAAGGAAAAATCGAAGGATTTAAAAATCAAAGGCTTTAATCTAGTTCTCCTTTTTTCTGAAAAAGCAAGTGGATATCGTGCTGCAGCAAGGACGTTTGGTGTTGGTAAAAGATGGAACAGATAATGATTATTTATTTTTGGATTATAATGATGTTACGGATTTAGTATTTAAATAGTTAATGTTAGTAGACTTATGAGTAAAATTGTTTTATTCCCCGTGCAGTGCAGCGCGTGACGAATTTTTGCTGCCTGTCGTAAATGCTATTATTTTTTTCTTGAGAGAAACAATAATAAAATGATGAAAACGGACATCAGATTCATTTTTCAGATTCGAATATTATAAATTTGTTTTATGAAATACTAATATATGGTCGCTTCGGGGCAGATGCTTGTGCTTCGAACAATTTGTTGATTTTTACGGATTATACAAGCAACATAATTCTGTGATTTAATTTCAAAAGTAGGTTTTTTGGTCAAATATTTTGCTTTCTGGTTTTCTTCTCTTACACTAGTAAAGTAAGTTCTCAGTTTAAAGTTAGACAATTAAAGAATACTTCAGTTTCTCTCAAATCTTTAAATTTGGAATGAAAATTCTTCATTTTAAGCTCAAAAAACAAAAACGTCCTTACTTGAATGTTTTCCATTGCTGACTTTTTATCCTAATCATAATAATACAATTTCTGAATTTAAATTCATGACAGAAAAACAAAGAAATATTTAGTTGAGTATTTCTGCTTATTGACTTTATCTCAAAGTCTTTTAACTGTTATGATTCTCTGAATTCAGCAGCTGCTGTTATTGCAACACACATGCTTACAAATACGTTTTATCATCAGATATTTATCTAATACACATCTCTTACTGTCCATCTGGATAATAGAACCGATTTCATCCGCAGCAACTGAATATCGCATATAGAAGGTGGTTCTTATGATAATTGTAGTGTATTTCGTTATCTACAAAGAATGTTACCAACATGCTTCCCTCAAAAAAACATTTGGTCAGTATTTTGTGATTTCTATTTTCGTAGTGATCATGCCAAAAATGCTCATTTGCGAGAAATATATCCGAAGACATGGCTAAAGAATTTTTCTCTTTCGAAAGACGTGTTGACATTGTAATCTTACTAGTATTGTGGAACATTGCCTTGCGTTAAGAAAATCCTAACAATTTCCTTAAAATGGAGGTAGTGCAGAAATAGGAATCTTATCATTAACTGCGCAGCTAAAATTTCAAAGCTGTTGAGCAATATAAGCAACAGGAAATCAATTTCTGGTTATATAATTCTAAACTCGTTAATATTGCAAAGATAATTAATAAATATTTTAATAATAAAAGTAAAAAAAAAAAAAATCTGATGTGTGCCCCACATGACTTCCTTGTACGGAATATTAAATATACCCTACTTTCTTGCATTTCATTAAACTTATTAGATTGAATTAATGTATTCCTCGATACTGCATAAACCACAATAGAAATGCACTCTTTAAAATTCACTACTATATTTGTTTACTATAGTGATACTTTGGCGGTAGGTTCACTTAACAGCGTTGCATTTCGTTCATTTTTTAACTCAGAATGCATACAATTTATATCATTTTAAGAGTTATCTAATCGTTGCCACATGTTCTATCCAAATATTATAATAAGTCTAAAACGAAGTATAAAAAAATTAAGCAAAGAATAACAACAACAACAAAAAGAAACAGTTTTTCACAGACGATTCAGTATCTCATTCAATAATTCAGTTCAATTCGCGACAAGGCAAAAATACTTAAAATTCAAGATTTCGGTATGAAAATTATGAATAAAATTTAAAACATTTCCTCGAAAAATTACAGAATGGTTTAAACATGATTTAATTCGCAATATTAAAATAAGGCGTAATCTTTGTATTGTAAAGCTTACTTTCTCTAGATTGGTAACAAATCTACTATTCTGCTGTTTCAAATGTAAACAAGCAATGGCCGCCATCGAAAAAATTATTACACTTAGCCGCACTTAAGCAACGTTTAAATTTTTCATAACTCTACAATTATTCCATGCAGATTTACTAAAGACATAAACACTTTAACTGGAAGATAAGAACAACATAATTCAATTATTTTTAAAGCAAAACATGCACAATTTACAAACATATAATAGTAAAGAATCTGAGATTACTGAGCCGAGTAACAGAGTGTATATATATATATATTTATATACTTTTGGTGCGGTCGATTGCAACCAAAATACGAGGTGCACATCTACATGTTATAGCAGTCCTATATAGAACATTTCAACGTTCTGAGGCTACTTGTTTTTGAGTTATGCGAGATATATTAGTACACAAGTACGTAGGTACAGACACTACTAAATTTCTCTTCAGAATTCATTTTAAAGCAGTTTTATAATTTTTTTTGGGGAAAAGAGTCTTTTATTCTGTCCTTACGTCCAGATGTCACGCAAAAACATCGTTAATTGGTTTCGATAGCTCTTAAAATAATCACATACTCCTTAATGAAACCTTAATGTTGGAATATGACGCGTGAAACATACTCCTTAATGTTGGAATATGACGCCTGAGACATTTCTAGATTACAATACTTCCTTTTGACTTCGTACAATGAAGTAAAAATTAGATCATTTAACTAATTAGTATATAACAACTGTTGTCCTAACGCTACAGTTTCTTTTGGGTGATATATATCACAACATCTACAGAGGGGTACATCAAATTTTGCATAGAGACATTTAAGAAAATTCCTTCAAATTCTTTCTATAATTCTAGTATCAGTGTATTAATACATCGAAGATTTACGAAACGGTTCTGCAATGAAGCTAAGAGCATCACTAATTAATTAAAATAATATTACTAATGCTCCTAATTATCAGCTGGGTGTAGTACAAATAAACAATATTTTAAATTATACATTTGGTAGTGCTATTAAACAAGTGTAATAAGAATTTGAATTATCAAAAATCATATGTCGCATGGATGATAAATGGTACATTAAAGTAATTTCACATAGTAACCCAGAATATTTAAAAGATCCCACTAAAGAAGTTTCTCGTAACAAAATATTATTCTTGGTACAGAAATATGTCCAATATCGATTCAATGGTTAGAGGTTCCGAGAGGTTTCAGCTTCTTCTTCTTACATGCTTAAACTCTCTTTATAACGATTCCAAGGTAAGCTTATTTAAGACAGCTGAAGCTAATACAGCGTTTTTAAATGGACAAAATTCTCAAATCAAAAGAATATTTTTGGCTTCCATGAATCCAACACTTTTTTATTTCATTTCATTTCTTTTTCTTTTTTAAGCAGACTGATCTACAAAACCCAAGTGAAGGGGAATCGATATCTAATTTATTTTGTGCTGTCAGAAGCACGGAAAGGAGTGTACAAATCACCTTTGGATTTAGATCTCCATGATACTGGGAATGATACTGGGAATATTTGTGGCGTCTTGCTGTATTTCTTTTGAATTCTCTCCGCACGTTCCATTTATATATAATAAGAATGAGGATTCCTCCCCAAAAATTAGAAATAGTGTAATGAAAATGATTTCAAAAATTAAATCTAAGTTTCTAAATGAGGACTCACATGGACAACAACACTTTTTAAACTGAATTTACCGACCTCAAATGAAATAATCAAGTGACAATTTAGATGTTTTCAAATGATTTATAGAATAATTTAAGAAAACGATTGCTTATCTTCTTTATTCTGAGCTATGATGTTACAGAGGATAAGACCATATGTGTATTTTCAAGGAAATCTTTTCCTGCAAAAAGCTGAATATTTCTGCGACTGTTGATGAATCATAGCTATATCTGAATTATTGTAATTGAAAATAGTCTAGATATTTGCTCTTCTAAACAAAGAGAGAAACAGCCCCAAAGTTTGGATTTAAGAAAAATAAATAAATTCGGTTTCATTAAGGAGTATGTGATTATTGCGGTTTTCCAAGCAATGAGGAATTAAAGAAAAGAAAGACAACAAATAAATGCAAAAGTTAACTCTATGTCTAACGTATATCTTCCAGAATATTGCAGAAAAGTCTGTTCTTATGGCAATGATGTGTAGAATCATTAAGTGCTTTTGGAACAAGAGACGTGAAAGTGAGAAGTTCTCGCCGGGAATCGAAATCTGAAACCTTGAATGCGCGACGCGTATGTTTTCAATTATACCACGAAAGCATGCGAAAAAGAAGGTTTTGGTTTGGTTTAGTTTATTACGTCAAAGCACACTAGGGCTTTCTGCCTAAGGAGAGGAATGATTTTAAAGAGGAACTGCCAGTTCATTTCGTGCATGTGCGCTTTCGTAGCAAGTCAGAATTACCAGTGTTCAGAGATTTTACTGCTCGGATACTGGTTGGCACACGGAAAGGAAGGAGAAAATAACTTTATATATTCTCCCTTTGAAAGGGTGACAGGGGAATTGGGGACTTCATTGCCAGATCTTGCAGGTGATGAATTATCGTATACCAGCTTTTAATTCGAATGTCACTTGTAGAATCATAAGGTACCTTTGAGCAGAAGCCGTGAAAAATGTGCAGTGCCATTGCCGAGACTCGAACCCTAGACCTCTTAAATATGCGTCCAATTACATTACGAAGGCATAAGGGAAGGAAGAAGAAAATAGCTTATAGATGGTCTCCTGTATTTTGAGACAACTGCAAAGAAGACCGGTTAGTTGTCAATCAAATAATTCCAAAGTTCCGTAGTTAGATGTCAATCAAGTAATAAAGTTCCATACGTGGTTAACTGTCACTCAAATACAAATAACAGGCTATGAAAATCATCACTATATTGAGAAGGTAAAATATCTCAAGATAATGTTATAAAATTCCTAATTTTACAGAAAGATCCAGATTCAATCCAATGGTTAAGAGGAAGGAAATTAACCAGCGGAAAAAAAAAAGTTTTTATTATAATTAACATTTTAGCTAAATGGCAACTTCCAGAATTGTGTGAATGAATTCTGTAATTCCAAATTTATTTTTTGTAAAGAATGTTTTAATTTTAATTTTAAGAAAATTAAATCTATAAATGAAAGCATATCATTAATTTTTTCCCAAAATCTTCGAATACTATTTCACGTAAAGCAAAACTCTTATCATCAGTCACAAGATTATCATACCTTTCTATCTTTAAAGTAAAATACTACAAAAAGTATTGCACTATACTTCAAATATTACAATGTGGCTTCCTAATAACATAGCTGCAACTGACAAACGATAAATTGCATTTAATATAAACCTGATGAGTATGTCTTCGGTATTTAATTACATATCCTTCTGATAAATATGGTGAGGGACGTAAGAATGTGGTGTCAACAAATGTATTGTTCCAGACAATTAATCGATAAAGGAATCTCCTCCGGGATTGCCCTTGCCGAGTGCGGTTTATCGCGGATTCATCAAACTGTCAGAAAACCTATTTAGTGGAGATCTAAATCCAAAGGTGATTTGTACACTCCTTTCCGTGCTTCTGACAGCACAAAATAAATTAGATATCGATTCCCCTTCACTTGGGTTTTGTAGATCAGTCTGCTTAAAAAAGAAAAAGAAATGAAATGAAATAAAAAAGTGTTGGATTCATGGAAGCCGAAAATATTCTTTTGATTTGAGAATTTTGTCCATTTAAAAACGCTGTATTAGCTTCAGCTGTCTTAAGTAAGCTTACCTCGGAATCGTTGTAAAGAGAGTTTAAGCATGTAAGAAAAAGAGAAGTATCTCATATACGTTGCTATTTTAATAATGAAAACATAAATTCTCGCAACATCATGTAATTGTTTCGAATTATAACTTTTAGATATCAGTTCCTGAAATAATTTGAGGATAAAATTTAGAAATTTAAGCTCATTTTTGTCACCTGCATTGTATTTGCAGCATGAATGTTTACTGCATTTGTTGAAATATTGTGCTCCTTGGTAGTAAGGAAATGACGAGAGCGAAATCTAAGAAGAATTATAAGGCCATATGGTGTTAAAATAAAAGGAAAATGTTTCCTAT